GGGAGACGGGACCTACGGTTTATTCGTCCTTCTCCAAGAAGACTAGAATATCTATTCAATTCCCGATATTATAGAGAGATAGCAAGTGCTCTTCAATAATTTTTAAGACCTCGAGTGTTGGTCCAGCCGGGGCTCGAACCACCTCGACCTCCTGCTCAACAGACCGGCGCTCTATCTATTGAGCTAACTGGGAGGCGGTTACAGTCTGCAACACAGTTCTTATGATACAATTTTGGAGAATTTGGTATTGGATCAACTAATAATCCCCTAATTGGTATTCTTGTGTATTCTCATTACTGGTCTGCTTGACATTGTATTGCTATTATAAGGAGAAAATCTCTCTTGGTCACCCATGGGAGTAAAAGGGTAAACATCAAATTCTCATGACTAACTTAATGAGAAATTTATGAAAGAGAGTAAGGATAATTGCTATTGGCAAAGGTCTGGAGAGTAAAAATATGGATTAGTAAATGGAGGCCTTGCAGACGAACAAGCAAGTTTGATGGCAGCCAGTTCACCTACAGTGTACTTCTAACCCTGGCTCTTTCATTGCTTTTTCTAATTGTAACATTTGTCAAGAGCTGAGATTTTATTTTATTATTATTATTTTTTTTTTACGTTATAGTCTCTGGTAGATTTCTGGTAATTTTAATATGGGCAGAAACTTCATAGAATACCTAGAAGAGCCAGACCTCATTCCTTTTTTCTCACTTGTAAGTGTTCAATCTGAACAAGAGATGTACAATTTTACAAATGGTTGTACATTTTTACAAATTTCTAGTACACTGCAGCCCAAAGAGTAAAAAAATCTTTTCCTCTTCTTTAACAGGCTTTTGGTGTTGGTGCATTTGAAGAGGCAGATGACAACATCTATGCAGTAGATCAAATGTCTAATTATGACACTGAATTAGGAGGGGATACCAGCTCTGGACTACATGGTTGGACTGGCCCTCAAAAAGAAAATTCTAGAGGTTAGTTTGTTTTGGATGCTATATTCCTTGAGGGTAGAAGAGGTGCTTATTTTTTGATTGGGTTAGCCTGGTTGCAGGGGGTAGTTTTTGTTTTCAAGCATCAGATTCAGTGCAGCGAATATTTGGTCACCATGTTGGAGGGGTGAAAGATTTGGGAGAGTGACAAAGCAAGGGGGAGGGGGAGGGTGAGGGTTTTTCTGATTTTTTTTCCTCTTCCCCCTCCCCCTCAATTCATCGCTAGTCCCAGATCTTCCACTCTTCCAATATGGCGACCAAATATTCACCATGCGGTCTTGCACTTGAAAACACAGACTACTGCCTGCAAGCAGGCTATGATTGGCTCTGTGCATTCTCAATGAAAATTTCCAAAGATGATTTGTCACTTGGGTCACTGTGTTGTGTTCTAAGGCAAAACATCCCTGATTGAATGATTGCTGTGGTTTGAAAGTATTGTAATATAGAAGCTTATGTGGTGAAAACAAACACTGAAGAGAGCATCCCAATTTTAATGTAACATTTTCTTATTGGTTACAATTCCCAATAGAATCGCATAATTGAATAAAATCTCGCATTCTGGTTGGTTAGCCAAGTGAGGTATTTAGCGTGGAAGTGTGAGTTGAAAACGAGGCTAAGTGATATTGTTTTGCACCTACATACACATAACAACCATGGTCCAATTGTAACACCACAACTGCAACAAAGTTTTTCTACAATGTCATTTTTAACTGTTTTCAAAACCATTGTCACCTTTTGAAGAGCCAAAAACGAACAAAAGCATTTTTTTAAAGTGAGCCAGAAGTTTGAAATGGCTTTCTGGAGTGCGCACTCAGGATAAAAACAAACAATAATGATTTCTTCTTTTTTGCTTATTTTTGTTCAATTATGTGATTCAAGGAAAATTGAATCGCACGCGAAAACCGATATCGCAGGTAATGAATTCTTCAATAAAAACGTTTTGTCAAATCGACAACGGTAATGATACATTATACTGCTAAGATTGTTTATTATCAGCTCTGACGAAGGGCTAAAGCTCGAAACGTCAGCTTTTTAACTCTTTACGGTGGCTAATTTACAATTTCAACTTAGTTGATATTACCAAATTACCTTGTTACCCCCACCGACGCACCACTGTTTCTTTAGAAACTTACCGTACCCCCTTTATTATCAGTACTATTTATTATTAGTAAACAGGGGTATATCTATATGTGGCGAGTCTCAAAGTTACCCATTCTTCAGTCCTGTAACTACTCAGGAAGAAAGGAAACTGGCTCAGAAGAGCAACAAAAACTGCACCTCCACCCAATAGTGAAAACTGTTATCTCCTTCAGTTGAATAATAACTCGTTCTTATATTTGAATTCAGGAGGCGCCTTGTCGATTTTCACTACAAGACCAAAAGCCACGGATGCACTCAAAACCTTTTCACCCCCGGTTGTCCCTCGTCATTTTGATTGTACCCACAAGTTCGACGATTCCAAAACTGGTCAGAAATCCTCCGAAGAAGGTCTGAACAAGAAGAAGGTTTTGACTGCGACGGAAAGAGGAGAAATGCTGGGGGAAGAACCACTCCCGGCTCCAAAGAAATCTGTGTTTGAGTTTCTTTCTGAAGAGGACAAGAAACGAGTGTTATCTGCTTCGAAAAGTGAAATATCGAAGCCCTCCGGTAAAATACCGTCGAAAGAAGCGAGTTCTTCAAGAAATGATTTCTCGCAAAAGAGTGCATCCACTTTCAGATGGTCTGGCCATAGCAGTTTTAAACCGTTTGTCAAAGATCCCACGAAACAGGCGCGCTATGAAGAATTTTTAAAAGGCAAACAAGGAGAGCAAGCTTCTCCACAGTTACATGGCAGGTAAGACTTCAAAGTTATGTACCAAGTTTTTTTTTTTTTATAACCCACGGTTTCAAATCGAATTCGCGTTTGCGCTCTCGTTCGTGTATAATTTCATCCCGTGTATAATTTCAGACTAATTTGCACTCTACCCAGTTTAATTACCATTATAAATCAAGACACCTTTCTCTTACCGCTCATTATTTGTCACCTGGGTGGGGAGGGGGTGGAAGATTTTGGTTGTATGACCCCCTCCCCCTTAATCGTCATAGGCAGTTAATCGGTAAGCAATTTTCTATTTTCCCCTCTCTATATTCTGTTGGCGACCACTGATTCCCCTTTGTTCCCCTAAAAAACCACATGATCCACCCAAAGTCCTCCTCTCTCCTTCCCCTAGGCGACAAATAATGGCTGGTGCCCAGTGCCTCTTTCCACCTAGAGGTAAAATGGGGTAACAACGAATTGTCAGAGAAAACACTAATGCCCGAGCACCCCATTTACAGGGAGACGGGATGT